TATTTATAAGTTTTTCAGAACCAGATAATCGATTATTTTAAAGAATAATCGATTATTTTGTTCTTCATGATTTCTGGAAATCAACCAAGAACAATTTAATCGATTATTTTGCAGGATAATCGATTATTCCAGAGAGTGATTTCTGGGATAATCGATTATTTCACAATTGCAGCAAGGTATCCTTTTTACCTGTTGCTAGAATAATCGATTATATTTAATGATAATCGATTATTTTGAGTTAGTTTTCAAAACTCTATTTTAAGTCTCAAAATAACTTCTTAATCTTTCAAACTCATCATCATACTCACTCCTAATTAGATTAGATAAAGATTAGCTCATGCACAAAGCATACACACAAAAAATAAGCTCAACAAAACAATTTATAAGCTACTCCTATTACATAACATAATAGCCACATTTTCCTTTGACTTTGTTTTTGACTTCTAAGTTGTTGATGTCCTTGGTCAGCTTTGTTCCACACTTTGTTATCATCAAAACCTTTAATCTCCAGAGGTGAGTTGATTCACCACCATGAATCTCAACATATGTAAGATGAAGCTAATAAGACAAAGCATACAAATCTTTTCTAACGATCATTATTTATTGTGACTGATGATTTTAAATGTTCAAATAAATATTTTATACCTTAACAGATTGAAAATTGTTTTTTTGGAACTCACATTCTATTAAAAGTGTATAAAAACATGAAGAGTAGCAGAACAAAGGACAAAGATCATGGATTTCACGAAAAAAGCGTTGAAATAGGACTGCATTCTTGCTTGCACATTAACTTTGCTTCCTATTGTTCCCGTTTTGCTATTATGCTATGATAAGTAGCTTGATCTATCAAAGATAAGGAGTACATTTAGGTGAAAGACATTAATTAAAGCATTTAATGCACCAACGAATACTTCCATTCTCTAACGAAGGAGTAAGACAAAGTAGTTCTATGAATCAGACTCAAGAAGCTGCAACGATCATTTCTTTCAAAGCTACTATATAAGAAGCTATAAAACTCAAGAAGAAGTAGAAACACACATAGGAAATAGAAGTGTAAATATAAAAAAACGTTTTGTACTCATCTCTTAGAAAATTTTCTTCAAGAGCTTTCTTGTACTAAAATGAATTATTGTAATCATGTCTAAAAGAGACAACAACTGCAACCTTGTAATACCTTTATAACCTTTGTTATAAGGTAGAGCCTAGAGAGACTTGACTATAAAAGAATACTTGGATTTGAGCCTAGAAAGGCTTGACTGTAAAAGAATACTTGGGTTTAAGCTTGGAATGACTTGTCTATAAAAGAATACTTAGGTTTGAGCTTGGAGAGACTTGTTTGTAAAAGAGTACTTGGGTAGTGGCTTGAAGAGGCCAGTCAAAGAACACTTGTTTGAGCTATAAATGGCCTGGTAAAAGAATACTTATAACTTTTCTGAAAAGTTAGTGGAACTTAATCTGGTTAGATTGAGAACTGGATGTAGTCTCGGTAGTTGAGGTGAAATAGTATAAAAACACTGTGTTTATTGATTACTCCTACTGGCCATTTGTTTATGCAGATATTACTTCACATACTTGAAAATGTGCAAGTTTTTGATATACATTATTTAACCCCCTTCTAGTGTTTATCTTTTCTCCATAGTTCTCCTTCATAGGGAACAACTCATAGTGTCTCTGAAGAGTAGCACTCACCTAAGACTAACATTTTTAGTACCCTCATGAGTTAACTTAATGGTTTTCCAATTTATTTGGTGGTTTTGCAGCTATAGAATTTATTGTATTTTTCCCAAACAAAGAGAAAGATAATATGTATCTTGCTTTTGTATTGAGTTGTAGGATATTATAATCCTTTTGTGTGTACTCACTCTCTACTTTGGTAATTGCAACATCACCTTCTGTGATGATCTTCCATAGGTGATATATTGAGTGGACTTGATGAACATTTCCATCCTATCTTTCGAACATAGGTAGTCTTCTTCATTAAATGTTGGAGGCCTTATAAGAGAAACTCCTTTAGGCAAGTATTGTCCTTCACCGACTCCCATTTTAGGATCTTTTCCTTTAGCACAATTAGATGCTCAATCTTGTTAAAGGTTGAGCTTTGATACCTAACTATGGAGAAAAGAGAGACATTAGAAGGGGGTTGAATAATGTCAATCAAAAACTCAACACTTTTCCAAAATAGTGAAGTAACACAAGACCGTAAGAGAACAAATGAAGAGTAAAGTAACACGAATACACATAGATTTTATACTTGCTCGTCACAACCACTGAGACTACATCCATTATCTAGTTCTTGATCAATCTGATCAAGTTCTACTATCTTTTACAAAGATACAAGTATTCTTTTATAAGCCATTTCTGACTCAACCTAAGTGTTTTTTTGACTTGCCTCTTCAAGCAACTACTGAAGTATTCTTTTAACACAAAACCTCTCTTTGGGCATTTAACAACCAAATATTCTTATATAGTTAAGACTCTCTAGGCTCAAGGCAACCAAGTATTCTTTTACATTCTAGCCTTTCTAGGCTCAAGGCAACCAAGTATTCTTTTGCACTATAGCCTCTCTAGGCTCTGACAATTAAGTATTTTTTTTACAAGCAAGTCTCTCCAAGCTCTAACAACCAAGTATTATTTTATAATTAAGCCTATTTAGGCTTAAAGCAACCAAGTATTCTTTTATAGACAAGCCTCTCCAGGCTCAAAGCAATAACACAAAGTTAAAGTTGGGTAAACTAACAATGTTGTTATGTTTTACTATCAAGATGGGATACAACCATTTAAGTATAAGGCTTTTTACAGAAAGCAAGAAATATACAATGATGCTCATGTAAGTCTGTCTCTCTATTCTTTTTGAATCTTCAAGCTTCTTTATATAAGTGTTTTATGAAGATGACCCTTGCAAATCCTTGAGCATATCTAATAGACTTTCTTAGTATATCTTCATCTTTTTTCTATTTAGAAAGAAGTGTTTGTTGGTGCATTAAATGTACTCCACCAAATTATCATTTTTTTTATCTAATCAAAGAAGCTACTTATTACCTTTTATGTACCAAAAGATATGAATTATGTGTGTATTAGTCTGAAGTAGCTTTTCATAAGTTTTTCATGCTTCAAAGGATATGCTAGTCATTTTTCTGATGCAAAGCATGCATTTAATTCCTTTAGAGAATTGTGAGTACCAAAGAAATTTTTCCTTTTGATCTGTTAAGGAATCATGTAGACAAAGATGATTTTGTTATCAAACATTATAAATGATACACATACAATGTATTTATCTTACAGATAAAGTGCTTCATTTGTGAGACTTAATTTCCTAATAATTGATTGTCTTAATAGATCTTCTTAAAGCTTGATTTGAAAATATTTTCTCTTAAAGAAATATCTGTTTTTTATCATTAAAACTTAAAACCTAAGTGATCTAAACTCATCTTTTAACCTAATAGTGATTGAATTGGTTTGATTTGAAATTAATAAATATAAAAATTACACAATCTAACTCAATCTAGATTAATTCGGATAATAAATTTTATGGAACTCAAATTAAGTCGACCTATGAAACACTCTTATTAACAATTAATACAAAAAGACTATTACATATATTATTTTAGACAAACTACTTTGTCTGTCTAAGACGAATGCATTAAATATATCATTTATAACGCCTGATAACCAAATCATATTTGTTTATGTTATTATTTAATAAATCAAAGGAATAAAAGTTTCTTTGGTACTTGAACTTCAAAAAAGAACAAAGTGATTTATTTTTCATCAATAGAAAAAGAATAAATAGATATTTCAAAGTGTGCAAAGTCTCAAATATAGTCATTTATGACTGACACACTTATCAGTTCCTCCCATTTTTGTACCTTAAAGATGATAAGTAGTCTCCTTAATCTAGATAAGAGCAACAATTTGGTGAAATGTATTTATTACACCAACAAACACTTCATTTTACTAGGAATGACGAAAAAAAAAAACAAGCTTATGAGAAAAGTTCAAGGATTTACAACGGTCATCTTTATAAAGCATCTATATAAAGAAGTTTGAAAACCTAAAGGGAGAGAGATAACAATCATTATAAAACATTCATGTGATTTTCTTTGTGTAACCTTGTACTTAAAGTGGTTGTATCATGTCTTATCAGTAAAATGAAACAACAATGGTTTTTTAGCTTTAACTTTGTGTTTTTGCTTGAAGCTTGAAGATATTTTGTTGTACAAGATACTTTATTCTTTAAACCTAGAAAGACTTTGTTATTCAAAGAATACTTGTGTAGTTACTTCAAGAGGCAAGTCAAAAAATACTTAAGTTGAGTCAAAAGTGACTTATGAAAGAATACCTATATCTTTGCATAGATAGTGAAACTTGATTGGATTGATCAAGAACTAGACTTAATTTTGCTGGTTGAGAAGAACGATTATAAAAATATTTTTTGTTCTTCATCTTCACTTTTAATGTTTATATATTACTTCCTTGTTTTGAAAAAATGTTGAAATTTTTATTGACACTGTTCAACTTTCTTTCTAGTATTTCTCTTTTCTACACAATTTGTATCTCTCATTCTATTGTATTCAAGTTGTTTTTAAAATTTAAAAGATAAAGAGATAATGCTTAAAATTTAAATTTATTAAGTAAATGATCAATTTATACTTACTATCCTATTAGTTTGTGAAACTAAAATAAATTGAAATAAGTCTTTGAAAACAATATCCTATTAGTGGTCAATTTTATAGACTTAAATGAAACTCTTAAAAAAAATTGAGGAACTTATTTAAGTTTTTTCTTCAAATTAAGGAACTAATACAATTGTGAGTTACAATTTTAAATATTAAATTAGTTATTTATATAAAATTTATTTATTTTACACAAAAATAAATATTCTAAATTTTAGATGAATGGCAAAAAAAAATAAAAATAATACTACGTACTAAATCAAAACTCGTACTAAAAAGTCTTAAAACTATATTTAAATTTAAGCTAATTTACATGCTTAGCAATTATAGACAAGTGAAATTAAGACGTAGAAAAAAGAACCGAAATGAAAACATGGCGTTAGCCGTTAGGGCTTTGTGGAGAGTGAGAAAGAGTTGCAGAGGAAACCCTCAGTTCTTCTTCAATCCACACCCTTCCTCTTTCTGCAAACATGCACAATCAAATTCCTATTCAATTTCAAATTCAAATTTAAATTCCCTTCTTCACAAATTGCTTCACGTCCCAAATTCACACATCAAAACGACGCTGGATCAGGAAATGGCTTCCATTCAAAGCTCTCAACCTTGTTGGGACTTCCTTGTTACCTCTCTCTCCCCTTCTTCTTCCCACAAAGCTCGATTGGTACTTTTACTAATCTTTTTTTTTCTGTTTCTTTTCCATTTCGTCAATTTTTTTTTTTAATTATATTGATTGATATTTGATATCAAGAAAATAAGGTTGGCATTGCAAATCCCAATTTTGTCTATGCATAATTTTTTTTTCATTTTTCATTTTTATTATATTACCCACAAGTTATAAAATGGGAAATTGGTGCTTTTAACAAATTTTAATATGAATTAAGGGATTTGCTAACAGTCTACTTTTTATTTTTTATTTTTTTTATTAAAAGAGTATTTTAATGAGTTATAACTTGAATTCAATTTTATTAAAATATTCTAATGTACCAATAAGGTCCGGCATAGTTGGTAGAAAACTGGGTTGCTTGAGCATGTTGTGAGAGGTACAATTTTTGGTTGTGTATGGGGAAGACTCTGTTGGGTGAAGCAAAATCTCTTTTGGTGATCTACACTTCGAAAGAAATTAATTTCTGACTATTGATTGGAGACAAAAAAATTACTCAAGTGTATTTTGCTTAAATACTTTTTTTGAGAAAAAAAAATGAGTATATGCTAGCAAGTCTGAGATTTTTTTGGGTCTAAACCATAGGTACACTCCACTAGAGACAATCTTATTTGAGCTGGATACAACCTTTATTATGGGCGGCAAAGCTCTCAGTCAAGAAAGATTTGCTAATGTACATTCATTTATTTTTAAGGAACATATTTAATAAGTTATAACTTCAATTTTATTAAAATACATACAAGGTGAAGTTTGCAAAAAATATTTATAAAAAAATAAAATTAAATAAGTGGTTGTTGTGTATGTTAGTAAGTCAATAATAATTTTATGTTAAGAGGAGAATATCCACTTGTGTGTTCATGATTTCTAATGGAGATTAGTTACTGCTTTCACTGGTAGATACTTCGTACCAATATCAGTTTCCAAAAAAAAAAACAAATATTTTAGTAAGTGAATAAGAATTTGTTATTGTATTTCCATTTATTTTAAAAAAATAATTTTTCAACAAGTTATAATTTTGCTTTTGTTAAAATCAAGTCAAAAGGTAAAATTTCTTAGATACTTCTTTTAAAACTCAAGTGAGAGTATATGTCAGCAAACTTCGTTTTTGTGTATGTGTAATGTGGTTTTAGTCTCTCAATTAAGTGACCAACTATATTTGGTGGATGGACTACAGAGACTATGATGATCAAATCAATATTCTCACTTATATTATTTTTGAATGGTCAGGTTTTGGAATGGATTTTGGAGAAGATGCTGAAAGAAAATGAGAAAGACCATGATCTCTTCTCTGAACTCATCTTTCTATGTGAAAAGGTGAAGGATGTGATGCTAGGAATGCGTGTGTTTAGTTCTATGGAGGCTACTGGAGTTAAACCCACTTCCATGGTTTTCAATTCCCTTATAAGTGTTTGTTTGTCTTCCAATGATGTTGTTACAGCAGTTAGTTTATTTGAGATCATGCAGAGTTCAGAGAGCTATAAACCTGATTTTCACACATATAACATCTTCATTTCAGCATTTTCCAAGTCAGGGAATGTTGATGCCATGTTAGCTTGGTACTCGGCGAAAAAGGCTGCTGGACTTGGTCCTGATCTTCAAATGTATGAATCCCTCGTATCAGGCTGTGTTAATTCTAGAAGGTTTGAGATTGCTGACAGAATTTTTGAAGAAATGATGATTTCTGGAATTGTACCTAGTGCATCAATACTGGAGAGTATGCTTAATGGGATTTGCAAGCAAAAGAGATTGGAACGAGCGGTGGAGTTTTTCAAGTTTGTGATAGATTCTGGATGGGAAATGAATGAGAACATGACTGATAAGTTAGTAGCACTGTATCATCAACAAGGGAAAGTTGAAGATATGGAGGAGCTACTTGAAACAATGACGAAGCCCTGTGTAATTACTGCTGGTGTTATAGCGCGAATTCATTGTGCAATTGTGAGAATGTATGCCATGTTAGATAGATTGGATGATGTAGAGTTTGCTGTGGGGAGAATGCTTAAACAAGGGCTGTCATTCACCAGCGCAGATGATGTTGAAAAGGTAATCTGTTCATACTTTAGAAGGGAAGCTTATGATAGGCTAGACGTATTCTTGGAATGTTTAAAGAGTTGCTTTGTGCTTAAGAAACCAACTTATGATTTGTTGATATCTGGCTATAGAAGAGCACAATTGCTTGAAAAAGTAGATAGAGTGATGGAAGATATGAAATCAGCTGGATTAGCATAATGGAATGTGTGATGATGACTCATAGCATGTTTAGATTCACATCATTTTTGGTAGTATGTGGCTCAGTGAAACAACAATTAGTGCTTTTGCATCAATTTTGATATGATTCTTACTTAAATGTTGATTATGGACGTGGAACCCAACATGCACTCTTATGAGATCTATTCAGCTCCATGACATTTACACTAAGCAGCAATCTAGTGTTGTTAGCACTTAGCAGCCAGTGAATATACCATCAAATGAATTTTAGAAGTTCACAATGTCATTTCTCTAGCAAGCTAACAATTGAGGACGAGTTATTTGGTCAAATTAAGGCTTCTGTATAATTGATCCAGGCCAGGCAAATTTCACTGTCAATGTGACTTCAAGATCCTCTTGTATTGTGTTTTTTCTTTTGGGGCGATTAGAGATTTCACATTTCTATGGCAAAACCGAAATAAATATTGATGGAGCAAAATTCTACATTGATTATATACGTTAACCCATGTAGCTGGATGTTTTGACATACAAAATTCATTGAACCTCGACATTATCTGGTCATCTTATGAAATTTGAGATGCTTATTCTAGTCATGGTATTTTCTATTAGTGATATTTATATGAAAAGTTTATACAATTATACTCAGATGGGAGGCTAAAAACAAAGTACAGCGAAGATCCAAACGGGAGCTGAACTTGTTTATTACTTAGAAAGAGTTTTTCTACTTATCATCATCTTATCTAGTTCCAAAAAAAATTGTTTTGAAATAAAGAATATTTGTAGTCTCTAAAAAAGACCTGAATTTTTTATGGTTGTCTCCCGTAGGAGACGAATCCCTGTTGTTGGATTTTGCTAAACAATGTCGTAGAGTCAAAAAGGTTTCTTAATTGGTACTTAAGGGAAGAATTAAAATGTAAAATTGAATTGCTATTTAAAAGTATAAATAAATACTAATATCAGCATATTTTATTTTTAGAGGGACTAATTTAATATAAAAAATTGATGATTAAAATCAAATTTAAAAATTTTCAGGGGAATTAAAAGTTTTTTTTTTTTTAAAAAGCATTTTTAACTTCAAAAGATTTTTTTTTAATGCTTAGATATCGGAATTATTAACCGAAAGGATAGTATCTTAGCAACGTTTAGGGTGATTTTTAGTTAAAAGTTTCGACTCAAATGAATTTATACCGTCCAATACCTGCAGTACATTTTAGAATTTGACGCATTATGTCAGCAAAAAAAGTGAAATTTAGCTCCCACTCAATCATAAAGGGCATGGGAAGAAATTTTACTTTAGATGTGGAAGGATATCTACCCTCAAAATAAGAAAATTTTATTTTACTCGTATAAATTCCCATCGCTCTATCTAATATACAAAATATACTCGGAAAATAAGCTTGCTCAAATAAGCAATTAGAACAAATTGGGTTGCATCATTAGAGTTGGTGACAAATGTATGTAAAGAACTAACGGTTACTTCCCCAAATAAAAGTGATGTGTGGAGTCCACTAGAATTGTATTATTTCAAGAAATAATTGTTTCAGTTGTACAAAATAAAGTTATAAAAGGTAACGTGTCTTCATAATAATCAAATAAAATTTATAAACAATAAAATCATTCTATATTAACAAGTTGACATGTCTTGAATAGCCTATCCGAGATAAATAATTCTTCTTTGACAACTGCTTGAAAAAAACTTAAAAAAAATAAAGTAATTATTTTTTATAAGTTCATTTTTCTCAAAATAAACCGAACCGAAAAAATCAGTCCTAAATTCATTTTCCAGTGCATAAAGATATTCTGCAAGTGACAATTAGAGTAATACATTTTGAGGCAGACAAATCATTCAAATGAAGTTTCCCTCTCCCATCATATAGTAATAGGAATGGAGGGTTAGGGACACAAAACACAAGGTTTTAGTTCTGAACCTGTTACTATCATTGTAATTCTTACTGATAAAATAAAAAAAAAATAAAAAAAAAACTAGTACTAGATATTAGTAAAATTTGAATATAGACAAACCCTTTGCAAGCAAACAAGGCTTTCAATTTATTCAATGGAAAAAGGTGTCAACTTGTATTCAAGATGAAAATCATTAATGATATCATGTGAAGGCAATTTCATCACTTTCAGAAACTCAATTCTGAAACTCTAGATGGTGTTTACAAGCAATCTAAACCAGTCAATTGTTTTTTTTTTTTTCCAAGATGAACTTCCAACCACTGGCAACTCCACAAATAAATTGAGAAAGTGTTACTTCAAAGGAAGAAATGATTTCAACCATTGTTTCCATTGAGCATCCTGTTGTTGCTCAACCCAAGACAAGAAACAGCTATCCAACAAGCAGAAGAAGTTGACATAAAGGAGCTGATACCTTACTGGTATAAACCGAAAATTCGCAACCTGAACAACTGGCCATATGCCCCCTTCTAAAACAAAGGCTGGCAGAAAATCTCTCTTCACATCTTCTTTGATTTGAGGAACACTCTTGCCAGTAGAAAAACCCATGTATGTAAAAAACACAAGTAAATCCAATGGTCCAAAGAGAAACCCATCAACCACAACTTTGGTTGCAACAAAGCGGACCGAATTCGGTTTGAGCATAAGTCTCAATCTTATAAACCGATCCAAACCTTCGTACCTAAATAATAAATGCAAAAGATAAAGGAGAGTTGTTAAGTTGATTACATAATAGATACAATTTGCCAATGCCCCCCATCCCCCATAAGAAAAAAGCAAACATAATAGCATACACATGTGTAAAGACTTTCCTTTTCTGATTCGCCATTGTTAAAGGACTGTTTTGTTTGAGTGAATACTCTGTGTTTTCACTTTTAAGACAGGTCCCTTGAATTACATGTATAAAAAAAATTAAATCTATTGAATTCTGTGTGCAAGGCATCAAGCTTAAAATCAAGTTCGTAAAAAAATTTAATAATAGTGAAAATGACATTTTTTCATTTTCAATTTTGAACTTCTTTTAAGACATTTTCAAAGAAAACATTTTCTAAAATTAAAAGTGAACACATTTTCGTGCTTATTTTCTATTTTCTTTGAAAATGTTAATAGAAAACGATGAAACCAAATAAGTCCTTAAGTATCATCTGGTTTGACAAAATTCACTAGTTTTATAGAACACAGTGAAAACGGTAGATGAAAACAGAAACAATAAAATGTTTTCTCTGTTTCACACACTTTTAAAAGCAACAAACAATGGAAACAAGGTGACATTTTTTTGAAATTAAAAATGAAAGCAAAACATTTTCTAAAACCAAACAGTCTTCTAGATGTCCCACTCAACTAGAAATATGATCAAAGTAATTTTTATAAGACTTCAGAATGATCCCCAGCTGATGAGAAGGTGCTGCTGATCAGACAATGAATGCTACACAAGTAACACATACAAAGTTTAAATCCTTTCTTTTTGGTTGGAGACCAGGAAGAGATTCTCTCGAGTGGTAAAAAAAAACTTGAGATTCTGGAGTGTTAAGATCTCCCCGTCAAATCTTTTAAACCTCCACTTTATAATAAAAATATATTATATTCATTGTTTTTTTGAATAGCTAGGATCTCATCCAGTGAAAATATCACTGGAGAGAATCCACTCCCGTTGGATCTCATGCATCCAGAATCCAAAATAAAACTCTTGCCCCTAAGAAGATGAGAGGACCATATCACTTTATTCCTAATTCATCAGGCAGTATGGTATAATAAAAATGATTACACACGAATAAGAAGTGTCAACGTCCTTTAAATTGATTTGCAACATTGGTATTGGAACTCAGAAATATGTTTCTTCAATAGCAGTTATTGTCTACTCCTCGAAATAACTAACCATGATGGTAGTCAGCCACAACTGTAGCATCCCAATACTACTATCTCATGGAAGATGGAACTATATAACTTCTACTAATGAGGGCGGCAAAAACATAATAACACAATCATTTTTTGGATAAAAATCTGTGTTTAATATTGTAAACAACAAAATTGACAACTGGATTTTTTAAGTAACTAAAACAACTTTCAAATCCTTCACGTAAACTAACTCAGATCCAGAATCCGTGAATCAGCAAAGAAATCCTCGCACAATAGAAGTGTCAATAAACAACATAGAAATAAAATTTATAAAAAGGTCATGCTTTTACCAGTAGTGGCCAACAGGGCCAACAAATCCTAACCCAAACAAGCTGGTCGTAGACACCCGTTTCCAGTTGATCTTGAATTCCTTTTTCTCATCCTGTGAGAGATTGCCATCAAACAAGAGAAATCAGCTAGTTAGATGGACATGTGTACTAAGAATAAAGTGTCAAATCATATACTATGTGAACTAAATTGTTTAAAATTACCACCAAAATGTGTTTGTAACTTGGTATTATATTTGCTAAAGTCAGAGAAAGAAAGCAAAGATACAACACATGGTTTACTGACAATGTTGCCAATATCAAACTCTAAAATGCATGTCCTTTTCAGATGGACCCTAACCAGGAAACAAGATAACATTACAAGTATTTCCCATCTCACTATTTTGAAGAAATAAATAAGTGAAATTTCCCATCTGTAATCACCAAACAAACGACATTTTCCATGCAATTTTAAAATTGACAATTTTTTAGCAGCATTAACAAAGCTTTCATTTCGCTACCCCTCTTTTTATGGTTCAAGTGCAAAACTAACTAAAGGTATGTTTCGAATTCAATGGATGAAGCTCATGGAATGATAAGGAATGGCACAACAATTTGTATAAAATGTGTGTTTGGGAGTTTTTCAAAAGAAATGTAAAGGAAAGGGAGAGACAACAAGACCCCTCCTCTTGCCATTCATAACCCCAATTCTGTGCCTTTGAACTGGGGAGTCAAGGAGAGAATGCCATGCCATGCGGCGGGCGATCCTTCCATCCTTCATGAAAAGACAAAACCAACTTCAATAATTACTCATCCCCAGGAGTCCCAATTGCATTCCAAAGCTAAAACCATAGCTGCATTTTCCCAGAATTTTCCATAACATCCGTAATCACAACAAAACCACAATTTAAAACTAACCTCCATTCTCTTTACTCTCCCAAAAACACCCACCCTAAGCATGCAATCCAGCCAATTCACATGCCATACAAAAATTTCATCCACAAAACCCACCGACGCCCACAAAACGGCTCTTCAAGACAATGACCACCAACACAAGCCACAAATCAAGCACACCCATTTGCCTAAACAACACCACACAGTGTAGGGA